CAGCCTGGGTACAACTTGGGTGGCAGGAAGAGGTGGAGCAGGTAGAGTGGGTGGTGAATGATGGGCAGGGGCTAGGCTACAAGGAGGCAGAGAAGCCCAGGGGTCGCAGGAAACTTGTTGGCACTGGGGTGGGGCCTGGCCTGATGGGAGCAGTAGTAAAGGGGCAGGGACAGGCATAGTTCAGGTTCACTCTAGGAGTCTGAGCCCTGTCTTCACTAGGGGGCACACGTAGCCAAAGAGGGCACAGCTTGCCCCTGTCCCTGATCACTGGGCCATGCCTGCCAGGCAGTGCAGTCCCAGGGTGGTGACTAAGTCGCTTCTGTCCTAAGGCTGGCAAAGTGCCAGACTCAGCTCTTCTCGGTAGGTGAGTCACTGCCCTGGCATCTCCCCCGGATGCGGCTGAGTCACCCAGCCATGCCTGCTAGGCAGGTGGGCACCATGCTTGGGGTGGGAGTAGAGGGTTATGTATGTAGCCCCCAGTACTTTCTCTGATCTCTCTGGCATGTCCCAGCCCCACCCATAAAACCTGCAGAGCCAGGTCAGGATGATGCCTCTGTCTTGTGTGTTTGTATGTTTGGGTTAGAGTAAATGGAGAAGGAGAGGACTGTGTTTGAATCCCTGCTCTGTTATTGACAACTGTACAACTTGGCAAGGCATTGACTTTTTGGCCTCAGTTTACTATTCTGTACAATGGAAACAAGAACCCTGATCCTTCTGGATGAGAATTCCATGGAGTGGACCCATGGTACACACTTGTGGCGGGAGCTCCTGTTCTGTTCTGATGAACTGGGAGGATAAGGAGGAAGAATCAGTTGAGATTCCAGAGGTCTCCCAACCCAGCCTGCCTCCAAGTGGTCTTGGGGGCGGTGTGTGTGTGTGTGTGTGTGTGTGTGTGTGTGTGTGTGTGTGTGTGTAACAGCTGTTTCCTAGCCCCTTCTTCATACTCTAGTTAATCCTCCCCTCCCTCCTTCCCTGTCCTGGAGCTTGAACTCAAGGCCTGGCCACACTGTCCCTGAGCTTCTGCTCAAGGCTAGCATTTTACCACTTGAGCTACAGTTCCACTTCTGGCTTTTTGGTAGTTTATTGGGGATCAGAGTCTCACAAAGCTGGGTGCTGAAAGAAAGAAAAAAAAAAGAAAAAAAAAGTTTTATAGACTTTCCTGCCCAGGCTAGCATTGAATTGAGATCCTCAAATCTTAGATCTCAGCTTCCTGAGTAGTTAGGATTAGAGGCATGAGCCACCTGTGCCTTATGAGCTTTTTTTTAGGCAAGGTCTTACTATGTAGCCCAAACTGTTCTCTAACCCTCCATCTTCCTACCTTACCCTCCTGAGTGCTAAGATTACAGGCATGCTGAACTATGCCCTGTTTAATACTATTCTTTTTTTTTTTTAACCCATTGTGTACCAGTATTGAACCTTGAACTTAGGGCATGAATGCTGTCCCTTAGCTTTTTTTTTTTTTTTTGTCGGTTGTGGAGCTTGAACTCTGGGCCTGGGTGCTATCCCTGAGATCTTCAGCTCAAAGCTAGTGCTCTACCACTTGAGCCACAGTGTCACTTCTGGTTTTCTGGTGGTTAATTGGAGATAAGAGTCTCACAGACTTTGCTGCCAAGGTTGGCTTTGAATGGAGATCCTCAGATCTCAGCCTCCTGAGTAGCTAGGATTACAGGCATGAGCCACCAATGCCCAACTTTTTTTTTTTTTTAATTTATTGCCGGTTCTAGGGCTTGAACTCAGGGCCTGGGCACTGTTCCTGAGCTTCTTTTGCACAAGGCTAGCACTCTACCACTAAGCCACATTCCCAGCCCGTGTCCCTTAGCTTTTCACTCAAGGCTGGTTCTCTACTACTTGAGCCACAGTTCCACTTCTGGCTTTTTGGTGGTTAACTAGAGATCAGAGTTTCAAGGACTTTCCTGCCTGGACTGGCTTTGAGCTGCAATGTTCATATCTCAGCTTCCCAAGTAGCTAGGATTACATTCATGAGCTACCAGTGCCCAGCTTTAATGCTGTTCTTTAGGAGTTCCCACAGGCAGGCTATGAGAGGGAGACATTATTTGTTCTAAGTGTAGGCTCTCCTAGGCTATCATCTATCTTTGTTGACGACTGAGTGCTGTCACTGACTTGTGCAGAGTTGTGCTCTCTAGCAGCTTCCTGTATTATAAAAGAGGGATCCTTCTTTTGGGAACCCAGTGGCTTGTTCCTTCCCAACTTCTCCTGTGAAGAGAGGATAGGAGTATCTTTCACACAGAGCAAGGCACCCCAGGGTCTGTGGCTCTTCTCACCTTTTATTCTCTTACTGTGTCTTCCCTGAGTACTCTCTTCTCCTGCATCAGGGTCTCTGGCATATGAGAATGGAAACTGGATTGTGAGGCCAGCACAGCTGGAGTTCAGCTGTTGCTGTAGATTGAAGACTTCTGCATGGCTCCCCCCCTCCCCCACCCCCTGCACTACCACCTAGGGCCGGTTCTTGCTTCTTGGAGTTAAGCTTGAGAAGGTCTGGACTTTGGACAGGTGGTATTGGGTGCCTGGGGTAAGAAGGGAGCTCCCCAATGGTGTGTAATATGTAGGTGTATACACAAGGTGCTTGTCTGCCACCCTGTGGGAGGTGGATTTGTGTGTGCATCCATTTCTTTTACTCTTGTACACATGGGCCTAATGCTCTGCTCAGAAGTGTGCCTCACCCTTGCTTCATGCCCTTACTTGTGTGCCATGTCTGTGCTGGGTATGCATAAATATGTCTTGGGGGTTGTAACACACTAGGTACACTGAATGTGTGTGTGAATAGTATGCATTTGTACTAGAACGACATCGAGTCCAGGAGTCTGGCTATAACTGAATCTATGTGCTAGCCAGTGCTGGTGGCTCATGCCTGTAATCCTAGCTACTTAGAAGACTGTGATCTGAGGATCGTAGTTCAAAGCCAGCCCAGGTAGGAAATTCCATGAGACTCTTTCTTATCTCCAGTTAATCACCAAAAGGCTGAAAGTAGAGCTATGGCTCAAGTAGTAGAATGTTAGCCTTGAGTAAAAAAACTAATGGACCCTGCCTAGGCCCTGAGTTCCAGCTCTAGTGCTGACACACAAAAACAAACAAAAGCCAGGAATCTATTTGCTGGCAGGTGTATGTGGTAGACAGTGGAGTAGAGGGTTTTTTTTCTTTTTTCTAAACAAAGACATTTTCCGTGCTGGCCTCAGCTGGTAGAATCTAGGCTAGAAAGAGAGACTAGTGGGGACTAGAGGTAGCCTGGTGGGCCAGGGCCCTAGGTTAGTTGCTCACTAGGGTGGGGCCTCTACTGTGGTAGGGCTTAGGCTGAAAAGCCCTTGGGGGACCACTGGGGGGGAAGGGGTTAAGCATCAGCGTTCACATCTGGGAGCCATTGGCGCATTCCAGCCTGCTGAGCGCATGTTTGCGGATGGATCTGGACGGGACAGGGCGGGAGGGGCTGGGCAGGCAGTTCGCACCGGCAGACGGAAATCCAGACTGGAGGGGGAGACAGCTCTGGCCCAGCGGGGAGGGAAGGGGTTTGGGGAAGCGTTGTACCCCTTCACGGGCCTGGCAATTTCCCCTTGTGTCAGACCTCAGGGCAGAACATCCCGCGAACTCGGCCTTGGGCTACCTTCCAAGGCTGGGGGCTAAAGCCAAAAAGACAATCAGAGACTTAAATTCTAGACTCATCTCTGCAAACTATGGACCTGGCGCCGGCTCCGGGGCCTTTGGTCCTGGCCTGTAAAAGCAAGGGCAGTAGGACCCGACTCTGCCGTGGGTCTGGCTGAGCCTCTCTTTACTGGGGTGGAGGCCTGGGAGTGTGGCACTTCCCTTTCCAGCGGGAAGTCCTGTGGGGACACTTGTGGCCACTTACTTGTGGCCACTTTTTCTGCCTGGGGAACTCAGAGAAGGGGCTGTATCATGATGAATCCGCCCATCTGCCCCACAGTGGCAGCTAGCAGTGGAGTCCTGAGCCTCCCAAACAGAACAGCAGGCTGGGGAGAGGACTCATGGCTGTGTTGGCGGACTGGGGTCTGTAGATGGAGTGATTCAGATCCTGTCCAGCTACAACATGAATGAAAGCTTTCCTGGCTCCTCTAGCCTTGGCGAGGAGAGACGTTTGAGTTGGAGAAGTCTTTCTAGTATGGAGGGGTGCTCCTCAGGTGCCCCTGCTGGAAGATCCCAGAGCTACCTTTTTGGAGTGGGGTGTGTGAGTGGGTGGGGGTTGGTGGGTTGGTTAGATTGGGTTAGAGTTCCTTCGACTCATTGGATCTGGAGAGGCGTTTGGTGTTTGGGGAGGATCTACTCGTGCTTTTTTTTTCTTAACATTAGAAAATTAAGATCCAGAGAAGGGAAGTGAATTGCTCAAGGTCACAAAGCTCTGGATGTCATCTGGTCCCTGGAGGATTTTAATAATGAGAGTCAAGGATTTGACAGCTGGGGCAGGAGTCACTGCATTCCGTTTACTTCCGCGTTTCCGTGTTACACCACCTCGTCTCGTCTCAGGTTTAGGTGTGGTGGTGATGACGGTGGTAGTGGTGTGTGTGTGTGTGTGTGTGTGTGTGTGGAGAGAGAGAGAGAGAGAGAGAGAGAGAGAGAGAGAGAGAGAGAGAGAGAGAGAGACCGAGGGGTGTTCCTGTGAGTGTGGGTGTGTAGTTGGGGGAAGGGAGGATACCACACACTGCGGTCCTTTCTCCACCGAAGTCCTATTTCTATTCTTTCCACAGAACTTCACCCCCCCTCCCCCCCTCTCTGAATCTCCTATTCTGGTGCTGAGGGAAGGGATTCTCCCAGATTCCCACGGTCCAGCACGCAGCTGGGAGCGTCTCCTTTAAGACTCTCCCTTTCCAAGGGTCTGTTAAGGAGAAAGGGGCGTGGCCGAGCCCGAGGACCCGCCCCTGCTTCATGATTGGTCGGTGGGCGTGCCGGGGCGGGCCCTCCGGAGGGGGGCCTCCCCCCCCATCCCGCTCCGTACCCTCCGCCCCCCCCTTCTAGTCTGGGGCTCCGGGTAAAGTTTCAGCCTCCGCACGTGACTCGCTATGGCCGCTGCCGTCGCCCCGCGCCCCTGAGCCGCGGCCCCCCGGACGGCTCCTCTCCGGGGACCCCCGCACCCCTGACGCCAGGCCCCGCCGCCCAGGCGCTGGGTTAGGACAGACGCCTCGCCCACAGACACCTGGACGGGGTCCGTCCCCCCCTCCCTGCTTCGAGGTAAGCTCTGCCCGGGAGATCCTGGGGCGGGCTGGGTTCCCGCACGCCTCGGGGCACTCGCGGCCCCCGCTTCTTGGGATGAGGCGCTGCGGGCGAGGACCGGTGCCAGGCGGTGCTGACGGAACCCGGGGTTTCCTGGGCTTCCCAGCCGGCCGCCGCCGCCGCCGCCGCTCGGGTGGGGAGTCCCGTCTGTCTGCGCCCGCCGCCCGCCGCCCGCCGCCGCCCGCCGCCGCCCCGCGTCTCCGCGCGCAGCCTTGAGGCGTCTGCGGCCGTCTGCCGCGCGTGTCCCCGGCGCTCCAGCCTCGGCCGATCCGCCTCTGGGAACTCCTGCTCCCTCTGCTTTCCTCTTCCTTTTCTCTCTTCAAAAAGGAAAAAAAAAAAAAAATCAAACAAAAAAGGACTTTCAAACCTGTTTGGGGAGAGATCGGATGCCCAACGGACTGGCCTCCTCCCGCCCTCCGCCCTCCCTCCTGTTACCTGAGCCGCCCTGTGGTTTGGGGGGAGAATCAGCCAGGGGGGCCCCCTGCTCCCCGCCGCCCCGAGGAAGCTGGCTGGGGGTGGGGGGCGGGGCCGCTCAGCTGGTGTCCCAGACGGAGTGAGGGGAGCCGCCAGTACTGGGTGCCTGAACCGATGCCGTTTTGGGTGGGATGTTCCTGGATCTCATTACCATGGGGGTTGTGGAAGTCTTTTGGGGTGAGGGGAGGACAGAATAGACTGGCAGACCTCCCTTTGCTGAGGATGTCTGGGACCTAGTGCCACCCACGAGGCTTGGAAGCTGCTAGCCAGATGTGTGTATGTGTGTATTGGGTTGGGGTGGGGGGTGGGAGGCTAGCTATGTCCCTTTTCCTCTCTGGGCACTGCCCTGTCAAGTCTGCTCCAGGAGAAAGGGGGACTGTGCCCCAGTTGCGCTGGGCTGGGGATAGCAACTGACTCATATGGCAGTCAGATCAATGACCACCCCCTCCTCCGGCCCCCAGCCTTGGAGAAGTTTCTTTACCATCCATCCTGCCTTGGGTGGAATGGACGCCCAGTGCACTGCAGTGGAAGGGTACTCCCTGCTCCCACCTGGTGCCAGTTCTACCTTCTGCAGCACCTTTGCCCTCTGTCTGAGTGTACATGTGTTTGTGTATGTTCTCTAAGGGGATTGTTCCTAAGTACATTTCTCCACCTCCACCCAATGTTGCTATTTCAACCCCTCCTTGACCCCCCCCTTCACCCCCACCAGTGGAAGAGGGATTCAGGGATGTCTACCTTCTAGCTGCAGCCATCACAGGGCAAGATTGAGGGAAAGTGAGTGAGTCAGTAAAGACTTACTTCTCAGTTCTTGGTAGGAAATTGGGGCTCAGGCCCCCAAACACCTCCAGGCTAGAATGGATAGGAGCCTGCAAATGAGTCTAGGGGGATGGAAGAAGAGGAAGAATGTACAGAGTTGTGGTTCTTCCTCCTGGAGGAAGAAGAGGAGCGGTTGTAGAGTCAGGGAGTTTGTGGCTGTGAATGATGGTGCACTGGGAGGGGCTGGGACACCACTACTGCCTGGGCGTCTGGGTCTGAAGCAGAGAGGTCAGTAGGGTCAGTCTGGAGTAGGCCCTTGGGAGCTGAGGAGGGTGGATCCATAAGGATGCTGAGGGTGTGAATGCCGAGGCGGGCACTGCAGGAGTTTCACCAGGAGACTCATGAGGCTGCACAGACACAGTGGCAGCTCTGGAAAGACCCTGGGCTGGGAACAGCTTAGTCCTGCTACAGCTCTAAATCTCTGTCTTTTCGGAATGACCGTAAACAGCCCTGCTGTTACTCTGGTACACCTTTCTAGTTCTCCTCCTACTCCTAGCCATGTAGCAGCCTGGCAGGAAGCTAGCTGTAGGCAGCCCCATCCTGATGGCCTCCCCCGCAGGGCACAGTCACCCACACATGCCATGACGTGGTTCCTGCCACCCTGTCTAGTGTGGGGGAAAGGGCATTGAATGGCCTTCAGATCTGTTTTCTGTTTGGGGGACATTGACCCAGACCCTAACGAGTGACTTCCCCTTCTCTTAAACCATTTGGGTTCTGGCTTCTGAGACCTTTTTCCCAAGCCACTCTTTGTTCAGACCGTAGGCTCTTAGAGCTGAGATAGTTCTCTGAACTGTGTAATATGAGGGTGGGGCCTGCCTCTAAATACAAGCCTCACTGCCCAGGCCCCCCTCCTCTGGGAAGCATAAGCAGGGCAGGACCTAGATTCAGCTGGAGGGGGTGTGTGTTGGGGCCTCTGTAGGATCAGTTTGGGAGCGTTGCCTGGGGATCTAGGGTGAGGGCATCTGTGGAAGGTAATCCTATCCCTGTGACAAGTAAGCAGGGTAATCTCCACTCCTAGTACCCCACGCCCCTGTCTGGTTTGCGGTGGTGGTGGTGGTGGTTGTGGTTTGGGGAGTGTGGGAAGCTGGCAGGGCCTCTGGCAAAATGACCAGGGTTGTCTCGATGGAATTTTGGTAAAGGGGTATAGGCACTGATAGCCCTGACTCCCACATCCTCTGTGAGGCTTGCTGTCTACCCCTTTGCTTCCCTCTCCACCCTCCAGCTGCTGGCGAGCCCATATGGTTTGTGGGGGCATGGGCGATGGGGGACAGGGCCTAGATCTGTGTGTGTGTCCAGGGAGTGTTCTGGGAATTGGCAGAATTGGCTGAGGGTATCTGGATGGCCCTGCAGGGTGGGCAGCCTGTAGGACCTGGCCCAGAGTGTGAGAATTTGTCAGCATTGTAGTCGGTGTGTCTGTCCTTGTCTGGCTTGGGTGTGGATGTCTCTTGCTTGTCTAGATCTTGCCTCCTGCTCTGGTCTTCACTCCCCTTCCAGCACTCCCCCCTCCAGCTGGGACTGCCTGCTTGCTCTCTTCTCTCTGCAACTGGAGCCTCCCTTGCCTGTTCCTGGAATTTGGAAAGAAGGAGGAGGAAGAGAGGCAGGCAGGCAGACAGACCTCCCACACTCTAGCCCGCCCGCCTGGCATCATGGGGAAATGAAATAGGTATTATAGAGCTAAGTTTTCTCTGGCTTCCCCAGACCCTTCAGCACATAAGAGCCAGCTCTTACAGAGGGCCATGGGCTGCTCACCCCTCAGGGCATCCTGCTCCAAAGGACCCCTGCTGGACCTCCAGGCACCTTCATCAGCCCAAGGAGCCCATGGGGGGATTAGGCTGCTGCCAGCCTGGCCAGCACCTGTTGCCATCTCCAACTCTGTAACTGGAGCTGGCCAGGGAGGGGGCTGCAAAATGACAGGTGGAATTTCTGCAGCCAGGCAACTCCCGTCCCTAACTAGATATGACTTTCGTTTCCAGCCGGAACTAGGAAAGCTCACCCCTTCCCACCTCCCCCAAGCGTCAACCCGATCTCAGCATTGATGCCTGTGTCCTGCCTGTGGTTCCCCACCCCCATCACTGGCTATGAACCGGGTTGTCCTCCAAGTTCTCTGATCTGCTGTCCTGGCCCGGCAAGGGGAGTGTGTGTGTGTGTGTGTGTGTGTGTGTGTGTGTGTGTGTATTAGGGGGCGTAGATGGAGGTGGTTCTCGGTTAATATTTTAATTGCATAAAAACTGGGAGCTCAGCGCTGGGCCAGTGGGGAGTCTAGGTCTGGCTGGCCGCCCGGTTTGGGCTAAATATAGTCTGGGACATCTGCAGAGAAGGGGAGGGGGTAGAGGGAGGTTCCATTCCCCCCACCTCCAACCAAGGTGCCCTCGCCTGGACGGGCACCTTGGAGCAGGGAGGGGGGTTCCTCAGCACAAAGTCGGGGGGGGGGGAGGCAGGCTGAGCAATTGGGACCTTGGCTGCCTGGAAGCCAGTAGACACCTCAAATGAACCCAGAGGCTTAGGACAGAGCCCAAGTGGGGTGCGCTGGCTGGATCCTCTGGCTTTTTTCCTCCTCCCTCCACCCCCTGGAGTTGCCTGAGGTCAGGCAGTCTCTGTGTGTCATTGCGCCCATCCGGCGGTATGTCACTGTGACCTACTCACTGTGTGCCTGTGTGTATACACACCTACCTTGGAGTGGCTTCCTTCTGATCCCTCCCCCTGGAGCCTCTGTCCTCTGGGTCCTACTGCAAGTCGCTTGCCCTTCCCTCTGTGCCTTGCCCCACAGTGAAACCTTCAGCCCAGGAATTGAGACTTGAGAAGGGGAAGCTGCGGTGGGGAGTTCTCTGATCTCCAGTCACGGCAGGAAGTGGAGAGGAGGGGGACTGCAGGAGGGAACCGTGAGTGGCAGGTGGAGAGGGAGGGCCCTGTCAGGCCCGGCACAGACTGACCCTGCTTTTAGTGGTGGGAGGACACCCTGCTAGTGGTCCTTTCTTCCAACTGCAGGTGGAGGAATGTTGGGGAACAGCTGATTCCCTAGGAGCTGGGAGCAATTTTCATCATCCTCCCCCCCCACAGAGAAAAAAATGTCTTCCTGTCACGTGGCTATTACTTCCTGTCCCACTGTGGTTCCCGGGATGTTTGTTGTTGGTTACCATGGTGATGGCGCCTTAGGCGCTACCCCTGGTTCTTGTGGGGAGGGAGCTGCCCCTCCCCTCAAGATCCACACTTGGGAGGGAGACTTGGGGGGGGGGGGCGCTGGCTAGGGGGCCCTTTCAGGCTGAATGTGTGTGGTCTCTGATGCCCTGGGTCCCTCGGGGCTCCCTAGACCTCTGTCTGTGGGAAGGAGTCATTGCCACCTACTCAGACTGAGTGTTGGTGAGACTGTGACCACCACGTCTGGCTGTGTTTGACTATGGCTGTGACTGTGTGAGACTGATTGATTTGGCAGCCCTGTTTCTTCCAACCTGGGTCCCTCTTCTTTGTAAGATCCTGCTTTGTAAGAACAGGCCTGCCCCCCCACCCCCCCAGACACAGTGTGAGAGACTTCTGATTCCAGCCTGTGTCCTCATGGACACTACCTACCCAGGGAATTCTGTGGTTTCTCGGAACCCAGGCAGGGGTATTGAGGGCTCTGGGAAGATCCCCTGTGTGTGTTTTTGGGGAATGAGGAGGTGGTAGATGTGCTT